TGACAATTAATACAGCGGTCATGAGACGTATTGTCTTATCTACTCTATATACTGTATCAACCTCCTCCTGCGTGGGTGCGGGAGACACACGAATGGCAATTAATACAGCAGTGATGACGCATGAGACATCTTTTCTTTTCTTTTTTTATCCTGTATACTGTATCAACCGCCTGCATGCGGGAGACACGAATAACCAATTAATATAGTGGTGATGATAGAAGGCCATATAGTGGTGATGACAGAAGACAATATAACGGTGATGATGACAAATGACAGATGTCAATTGTCACATTCACACAATATACTGTATCATCCTTCATCCTCAAGTGGCAAGAGACAAATGACAGCACATCGATGACAGATGACAATGTAGTGGTGGTGACTTATGTTACACTTGTCATATTTACACCATATATATACTGTGTCAACCACCTGTATGTGTGCGTATGAGAGACAAAAATGACAACACAGCACTCACGGATGACAAATGACAATATAGTTTGACAAATCACAATGTAGTGGTGATATAAACTGTCATATTTACAGGATTTACTGTCATATTTCCACAATATGCCTTCACCCTTCATTACTTCATTAAAATCGCCCACTTCCTCCACCCATGTCTGACAGTGAGATTACAAATGCCCCATGTGCGTCTGATGCCTGCTATATGCGCACAGGTACGTACCACGACATAGTGCACCGTGCAGCCGCTCAGTCTCACCCCAGCCTCCAGCACGGCCTCGTGAGCGTTCAAACCCTTGAAAGCAGGCAGCAGCGACGGATGAATGTTGATAAGCCGCCCTCGCCACTTTTTCACAAACTCTCCTGGAAGATTCCCAGACAGTCTCCCGAAAAATTCCCACACAAACGCGTCTGAAAAAATCTTAACACCACACACTCATGGAAAATTCCCCCCCGTCCCCGAAAAATTTCTAAACAAACTCTCCTAGAAGGTTCTGACACTCACCTGGAAACATCTTATGTATATTCGTCTGGAGAATTCCCACAAAAGCTTTCTCAGAAACTTCCCACGTTCCACTGATTTTAGGCATAGGTCAACGAATAAGAAGATGGTTTTACCCCTTAACGTACTACATACTCCGCACAGGAATGACACAATAAAGCTGTATAGTTTTTTTTATAGTAAATCATAATTTTTCACTGCCGCATGAGTCAATCAGGTTATAACTCCCAAAAAGGAAGTAGGAAAATGGAAAAGAAGGAAGAGGAAAGATGGAGGAAGTATGAAACAGAATCAGGAAGGGTGAGGATGGAGAAAGGAAAGAGCACGAATGACAAAGGATGGAGGAAGGATCAGGAAGGATAAAGAGGAATTGAGAAGGATCAAGATAAATAAGAAAAGAAGAAGGGTGGAGGAAGGAAGGAGAAGGGAGGATGAATAAGAAGGAAGGAAAGAGGATGGAAAATAAAGAAATGAGTATTGACGAAGGAAGGAGAAGAAAGGAGGAATGTTCTTAGGAAAGGAGGAGTAATGCAAACCTGTGAGGATTCTCATGAATCCAGCGAGACAGACCAGCTCGATGCCCGCGGCACAGAGAGCGCCATCTAGTGCCGCATCAAACTCCGCCCTCGTCTTAAACTGCTTGTGGCTGATAACCTGTGCGAGAAAGAGAAGGAGGAAGGAAGAGAGATGTGTGAGCGTCTTGCAGCACTGAACAGCTATTCTTCTATGATGTAACACACTACAGCACACTCCCACGTATAAACTCACATGGACACTGACTAATGCATTGGTGTACAGAAAGGGGCACTCACACAGGCATGTACAGGGCACATAGTGTCTTCCTTAAAACGCAAATAATTTCTTCACCCTTCAAATTAGACTCTGCAGTTGACATGCTAATACATGAAACACTGTATAGATATGGTTGAGCAAAGAGGAAGGGGAGAGGAAAAGAGGGATATCAAGATAGAGAGAGAGAGAGAGAGAGAGAGAGAGAGAG